AGACCCATGCCTATCACCATGCACAAAACTAAGGTCAAAATGGATCAAAGGTCTAAATATTAAAACAGAAACACTAAATCTACTGGAAGAGAAAGTAAGTAGAAATCTTGAAGACATAGGGTAGGCAGAAAGTTCATAAACAAAAACCAAACTGCACAGGAAATACTTCAAAGAATCAACAACTGGGATCTCATCTTATTGAAAAGTTTTTACACAGCAAAAGAAATTACCAACAGAGTGAAAAGAAAACCTACAAATTGGGAAAAAATTTTAGCCAACTGTCCCCCAGACAAAGGACTTCTATCTGGAATGTATAAAGAATTAAAAAACAAAAATCAGGCCTCCCAAATTCAAAGACCTAATCCAAAAATGGGCATCTGAGATGAAGACATACTTCTCAGATAAAGAAATACAAAAGGAAAATAAATATATGAAAAAATGTTCAACATCACCAGTCATTCAAGAAATGCAAATTAAAACAACACTGAGATTCTATCTCAGCCCAGAAAGAATGGCTATCATCAAGAAATCAACCAATAACAAATGCTGGAGGGGCTGAAGGGGAAAAAGGAACCCCTCTCCACTGCTAGTGGGAGTATAGACTGGTGCAACCACTGTGGAAATCAGTCTGGAATTCCTCAGTACACACATACACAAGATAGCTAAGATAATTGTACTACTAATTTCTATTGCTTTGTTGAAAGGAACAGCTAATGTTCAATTGTTTGATCAATTTTACATGCCTATATTTGTTTATCTGAGTAACCAATTTGAAGATAACAACACATAATACAATAACCATTGTTAATTTCCTATCACCTTGTTTGAAATTCTGCATCCTTTTTATTGTTTTTGTGTCATTTTGTTTACGACTTTTTTGTAAATTTGTTTTTGTTCTTTTCCTTTTAAATTAAAATTTAAAAATATAAATATTATCTATAGCCTAATGCCCAGTTACATAAAGATAACTATAGAGATGATACTGGTTTTTTTTTGTTGTTGTTTGTTTGTTTTCCGGCACTGGGGATCGAACTCATGAACTTGCACTTGCTGGGCAGGCGCTGTGCCACTGAGCTAAATCCCCAGCCCTGATATAGTTTTTCTTACTTGCTTTTATGTGCAATTATCTATAGATGAGTGGATAACTACATCATCTGTCTTGTTATGTACTGTTATGGTTTGTGTCTGGGTGTCCCCCCAAAGCCTCATGCGGTCATGGGGCAGGCTTTTAGAGTTTGATTGATTATGGGTGTGAGAGCTGCACCCGCCCTGGGGTGGATAGTTTGCATATGTAAGGGAGAGCAAGAGGCTTCTTGGGGCCATTTCCTGGCTTTTGTGCTTCTGGCCATTTTCCTCCCTTGTGTGTGTGCTTGTTGCTTTTGCTGTGTTCTGTGGACATGAGCTGTAGCTCTCCGCCATGTGCCAGTCTGCCTTATAATCTGCCAAGTATGGACTGAAACCTCCACAAACTGTAAGCAAAATAAACCTTTCCTTCCTTAATTGTGGGCATCAAGTATTTTGTCCCAGCAATGAGAGAAAAGTAACCAAGACAGGTACTTACCTATATACATGTTTACTTTAACTGATTTGTTTACTCCTCCATTTATTATTTCATAGAAGTATTGTTGACATCGGCTTGTAGGTTATAAACTATTCAGGCAGGATGTTGAGTAATAACATTACTCAAAGATGGATATAACGTCTATTGGACATTTTTGGTTTCCCTTTTTTGAGGTGAGGGGACATGAGTAACTTTGTGAAAGACAGTTGCATCTTGTTATACAAGTAAGTATCACATTTATTTTTTTCTTTGAAAGTTTTAACATCTGAGGGTGTATGTGGCTGCTGGGCAAGGAAGGGTAGACAGGGCCAGGTAGAAGCTGCTGATTATCCACTCCATGCCAGCCCTTCCGACTGCTTTGCTGTGCAGACACTGAGACTAACTGAACTGTGCTTCTGCTTTGCCAGCAGGCTCCTTTCTAAGAGCTGTAAGGCACACAGAGACACAGGGGTCACATGCCTTTCCAATTGCTTGCTGTTCATGCTAGTGTCATGGCATTTCACTTCTGGTGTCCGTTTTTCCCCTACACTCCCAGAATCAGCACCAATGCTCTCTTGGGAGGTTCTGCTAGGCAATGCTCCCTCCTCTGAGGTCAGGGTCTCTGCTCTGCAGGACCATCCTTGGAGAACCCAAGCTGGTAGTTCCTCCTCTCACAAGTCTGGGCTGCAGGCCCTGGGGTCGCTGCATTGACTTTCTAAGTTTTCATGACCCAGTCTCTTGGCCTGGGTGCCTGTCCCTGAGGTGGGAGCTGCCTGTGGGGGCTTCTTCCTGTTACTTCAACATCTTCTTTCTGGTTTTTCAGCTCTCCAAGAGCCAGTTAGCTAAGCTTCTGGCACTCTGTTCTTTCTGCTTTTCTGATTGGCCCTGACGGCACAAGTGGAAACAAGACAGAGACCGTTCTCACATGGACCCCACAGCCTGGTGGCAGACAATCACTAAGCAAATCATTACAGAAAGGGGTAATTACTGTTGAAATAAATGCCACAAAAGAAAGGTACAAGGCATATCAGTATATTAAAGGTCTTCAGAAGCCTTCAGTAAATAAACCTGTTTTAGCACTGCTCTTTTTTTGTTATTGTTTTTTCCCAGTACCAGGAATCGAACTCACAACCTTGCGCTTACCAGGAAGGCGCTGTGCCGCTAAGCTAAATCCCCAGCCCCTTTAGCACTGCTTAAAGTGACTTCTTTGCTCAATAGACCAATTCTGTTAACTGACCAAGTCTGTTAACAGGCAGCAGAATGAGTGTGCTACACAGCAGTGCCCTGAGATCATGGCAAAGCGGAAGTCACTGAAGAAATATAAGCCAGGGCCCTAGCTGTGTGTTTGTCATGTTCCTCCAGCTCCAGGATTCCAACCGTGGGACTTGTGATGACTCACTTTCCTCCTATGGCAGCCTCACAAGACAACTTTCTGATCATCACTAACTGACAGAGTAAACCTCCCGGTGGGGAGAGGACGCTGTCCACAGCCAGGACAACTTTCTAATCCATTTGGTTTCTTTTTTCATTACTGAGCAGAGTTTCTGAATCTAAGTCCTGAATCTTTAGAGGGGCTACTAATCTCTTAAGACTGTATGCAAAATTGTGTGCATGTGTGTAAATATATTGCATGTGTAAATATGTACGTGTGTGTGTGTGTGTGTGTGTGTGTGTGTGTGTGTGTGTATGCATGCGTGGGCATTTTTCTGGGAAGAGGGTTCATAGTTTTTATTATTCCTTAGCAGGACTTTGACTCTAGAAAAGGGAAAGGTCAGGGATCACTGCATTAGAGAAAGATGTTTATGTTGTTATTTCCATGCTCACCTGTGAGTTTAGTCACTGTAAATCAGCTCTCCTCAGTCCCATCAGCCTTGAGCTCACTCACTAAAGTGAGGTTCTGGCTCCTCCAGCTGGCTGAGGGGCTCACCAGCCCTCATGGATGGCACAGTATTGCACTCCTTTAACCTTGTACCTGTTCTATTTCCTCTGGTGGGGAACCACTTCCCCAGGCCTGCGGTTGAGTCCCTGTTATTCTGGACAGAAAGGTCCAACACTCCCCAAGAGATACTTTACTTTTCCTTTCTTTCATGACTTCCCCAAATACCTCACAACTGACCACAGCTACATCAGCTACCTCATGGCTGCTCTGGGAGACATTCGCTTCAGAGCTTTGCAGCAAGCAAGACATTTGCAGCAAGCTTCAGTCAGGCCCACCCCGGATTATTCCACCCCACAGCCTCTCTGGATGACTCCACCCCTCTGCAGCCATCCTTAATCAGATCTGTGAGAAGCCCATCCTGGACCCACAACTAAACAGAAAGTCTGACATGGCACATGTGCAAGTCCACCTTTTCTTCTCTGTAGGAAACTACCACCTGAATCAGCCCCTGCACTCTTCCCCTTTATGATGCAGCGTAAGTCCTAATAAAGCCTCTTCTGGCTGACATATTTTTGCTTATTCATGATTTCTGTCTCGAGTGCAGCAAGCTGAGCTGGTACACTAAGAGCTGATAATATCAAGATCGCTGGTGCTGAAAGCAGCCAGCAGCTGGAGCTGATGACATGGAAGACAGATAGCAGCAGAGAAGGACAGAGTCATGGAAAGCTGCTGGGAGCTGCCATCTACAGCCCTGAGGGCTGCTGGGAGCTGCCGGCTCTGGCTGTTAGGACAGTGGCAGAGGACCGCTAACACTAAGAGCTGATAGCCACTGGTGCTCAAGCTCAGGGCTTTTAACACCAAAAGAACTACACTCTTCCTGTTCCTGAGTTCCATCCAAAAGAACCCTCAGTTAATTGGTGACACTCAGATATCAAGTTCTTCTCGAAATCTCTGCTGTACCAGTCCTAGATTAGGTACCTCTTCATGATGCTTCCACAGTATCCCTCCCACCTCTGGGATGCCCATTCTCCCTCCCTGAGAGATATGCTTTTTCTTTCAATGGTGCTAATTCCATGATGTGATCACCTGTTTACAGTCCTCGTCTCCTATCAGAACCGTGGCTCTGTGAGGAAAGGAGTCCATGTCTATCTTTGCTCTGTTTTACCCCCAACACTAAGCACAGTGTCTAGCATACAGCAGGTACCCATGAAATACTACTTGAATGACTGGATCCAAAGTAAGTACTTTAGTCTTTTCAGTGCTATACTTAATGTGCTGCCACACTTAGGTCATGAGTGTCATCACTCTATGATTGTGTACAAATAGGCCAAAGATAAGATGTACAAAGAGTGAAATTTTCAGATAATCAACTCTTGTCTTCGATCAGCAAAAGCTTCTTTTCCTATCAAATGCAGATGTGCATGGGTGCATATGCATGCACGATCTTGTGCATAGGTGGAGGGAAGAGAGAGCATGCTGCGGAGTGTTGCCATAAACTTACCTGCATTTCTCAGAAAGCGGTTACTGTAGTCCCTGATGATTCTTGTGACTGGGTTGTAGAAGCCATCTCCACAATCATAACAGCCTTTGGGGACTTTTCTGGGTGGGTCCATATTGGTGAGTTGACAGATAACTTGAAATGGTACAACAGATAAATTAGTTCACTACTGAGGCCAAATACACACCCAATGCCCTTCTAAGCCCACCTGTGGCTGGATGCTCATGTGGCAACCTGGCTCCACTGTTGGAATAAACACTCTATTCAGGGCAAGAGGTAAACTCAGGAGAAACAGGCTCCTAGGAGTGCTTTCTGAAGATGATTCTGTGAGCAAGGTGTTGGGAACTAGACCTCCTGTTTTCTTCCCTGACCCTATCCTCCTCCATTTCTTGGGATACCTCTGAGAAAGAGCACAGGTTCTAGAGTCAGAGTGACCTTGAGGATGAGTTAGAGCTGGCCAAATGAGTAGGAGGACAGGTTTAGGAGAGGGGTGGCATTCAAATTGTGGGAAAAGGACAGAGCCACAAACTCTTAACCTCACTGTAAAGCACATACAGGGAGAACACTAGAAAAGTGGGTCAGTAGACAACCTTGATTCTCTCCACAATTACCAGTGTGGCTGGCATTTATTGAGTGTTTATTATGTGCTAGACATTATGCACCTCCTATTTTATGTACTCCTTAGAGCAACCATGTGGCTTCATTTTATGGATAAGAAAATTGACACTTAGAGAGGCCAACTAAGTAGTCCAGTGTTATCCAGCTAGAAAGCAGGCTGGCTCTATGACCCATATGCTAAGTGACCACATAAAGCAGAAAAGAGATCTTGGGTGTGGCTCCAAGACAGGGACCCTAGAACCACTAGGAGCACAAAAAGAGCCTGTGTGTGTGTGTGTGTGTGTGTGTGTGTGTGTGTGTGTGTGTGTACCATGGAATGCTATGGCCTGAGTAAAGGCAGGTGTTATAATAAATACCTTCTCAGGTTCCTATGATTGCATATCCTATAAGTATCCTGTATAGACAGAGAGCTAGATGACCACTGTTATGGTTTAGATCTAAAATTTCCCCAAAAGTGTTGTTTGCAGATAGGGCCTGGTTGAAAGGAGTGTGTCACAGAAGGTGTGACCTGGAAGGGTATATTCTTGTCCCTGGCTCCTCCTCCTCCTCTCTGCTTCTTGGTCTGCACGAGGTGAGCAGCTTTCCTCCACCAGACCCTTTTACTATGCTCTTTCTGTCTTGGAGCCAACCAACCATGGACTGAATCCTGTGAAAACTGTGAGCCAAAATAAATCTCTGCCATGTTCTTCCACTGTTTTGGTTACTTTTCTATTGCTGAGCAAAATACCAGACACCCAAAGTTAAAGAAGGAAATGTTAATGTAGCTCACAGTTTGTAGAGGTTTCAGTTCATAGTTGGCTGGCTCCAAGGCAGGGTGGCATGGCAGAGGGGCATCATAGAGGAGAAACAGTTCATGGTGGGTAGAAGGTAGAAAAGCAGTGAAGTAGCGAAGAAGTAGCATGTGACAGCAAAGTCAACAGCAGCCCTCTTTCTGTCCTTTATATTCTACCCAGGCCACCCATCCTTAGGCCAGGTAGCACTTACACCCAGGGTTGGGGGGACCCTTAGTCCTAGCATTGCACTATGAATTAATCCCAGCATACCATCCTTAATCCCAGAATCACACACTCTAGATCTAGCCATCTCCAAAAAGCTCCACCTATGACTGATGAGGACTTGGAGGGACATCTAGATACAAGCCATAACATCTAGCATGCTATTTCTGCCTTGGAGCCAAGCAACCATGGACTGAATCTTCTGAAAACTGAAAGCCAAAATAAACCTCTCCTCCTTTAATTTGTGTGTGTCAGATATTGTGTCTCAGCAACAAAAAAAGCTAATACATACACTGAGGATATAGCACCATGCTCAGAGCTCAGGGTTCTGCACACAGTAAGTGCTCTAATATTGGTTACTGATACACCAAATTCTAACCTCGACCTTGACTTTAACCCTATGTGCAACAGGCTTATGATTACAGTACTGAGTGCTTCTTCTATGCCAAGTGCTTTAGTGCTATTTTCTTGCAGAGACACTACACTGGAGGAACTAGTTGCTGTGGGAGAGCAACAGGCTTTTTATTCAAGGGTCTCAATTGCTGTGACAAGCCCAAGACAAAGTCTAGGGCTTTTCACTGTTAACCGAGCAGAAGGTGTTCAGGAAATGTCTGTTAATGTCATTGCTTTAAGTCCTCAAGTGTACCTCTCCCTCCAACATGGTGTCAATATTATTCTCCCTGGTTGTTATGACTTGTGTCTAGATGTAGTCCCAAAGTCTCATGTGGTCATAGGCAGGGCTTTTTCAGAGGTGGCTGGATCTAGTGTATGACAAGAGTATGTGATTACTAAATTAACCCACTGATTGGCTTGGCATAGTTCTGAGTTTGAATAATGGGAAGGCCCATGCTGGGTGTGAGTGCTGCTTGCCCTAAGGGTGTGTAGCCTGGATATAATATAAGGGACAGAAAGAGGGCTCTGTGGTCGCTTGTTGCTGCTTGCTGTTTGCAACTTCACTGTTGGCTGCCTCTGCCATGCCACCTTGTCAACTATTATTGACTGAAATCTCCATAAATTGTGAGCTGAAATAAACTTTCCCTCCTTTAACTTTGGGCGCTAGGTGTCTTAGATACTTTTCTCTCATTGCTGAGACAAAATACCTGGCATCCAAAATTAAGGAAGGAAAGGTTTATTTAGCTCACAGTTTGTGGAGCTTCCAGTCCATACTTGACTGGCTCCAAGGCAGAGTGGCACATGGCAGAGGGCACCAGTTCATGGAGACAGAAGACAGCAAAATCAGCCAGAGCAAAAGGGAGAAGCAGTGGCAAGCAGCCTCTTTTCCTCCCTTACATTGTATGCAAACTACCCGCCCCAGGGCAGGTGTAGCACTCACACCCACAATGCCAGCATTGGACTATGGATCCATCAAAAATCTAGAATAGAAGCCCGCCCCATGACTACATGAATGAGGGGACATGCAGACACAAACCACAACACCAGGTTTTTTATCTCAGCAAGGAGAAAAGTAAGAAAGACACTGTTCAACAAGAGCTCCTTACTGAGCACCTTCTACACGCCAGGCAATGGACTAGGCAGTGGAAATACAGCCGTTGACAAGACCCATCCCTGCCCTTGCTCACAGTTGGCTTGGAGACATGGATGCTCCTGAAAAGGATGCACTGTAACATCCCAGCGGGAGACCTCACTTAGTCTAGAAATTCGGGGAAGAGGATCCTGGAACAATGGACATAGAGCTGAGACCAGAGGATGGAGAGGAGTTACTTGGGTAAAGTGGGAGCATTAGAGCATTTCAGGCAGAGAAATGGCAGAAAGGGTGGTCCATTGGAGGATGAGAGAAGAAGCAAACATGACAAGAAAGAAAAGAGAAAAGGGGCTGGGGATTTAGCTCAGCGGCAAAAGCGCCTGCCTGGCAAGCACAAGGTCATGAGCTCGGTTCCCGGTACCGGAGAAAAACCAAAAAAAAAAGAAAAGAGAAAAGGCAGAGTGGGTAGCTGAGGCTGAGGCTGCATGTCAGCAGAAGCCAGAGAACAGGAAGCTGTTTTGAGAATGTGGATCCTCATGTTGAGAGCTGTAGGTGGCAATGAAGCAGGTGGGTGAATGTGTGGGTGGCAACCAGATCCATTTTTTTTCAGCACTGGGAATTGAACCCAGGGGTTTTGCACTGAGCTACATCCCCAGCCCTTTTTTCTCAACTGTGTATTTTGAGAGAGAGTCTTGCTAAGCCGCTAAGTTGCCCAGGCTGCACTTGAACTTACAATCTTTCTGCCTTAGCCTCCCCAAGTGCTGGGATTTCAGGCGGGCACCACCAGGCCCAGCGCAGGTCTACATTTTTAAAAGATGAAAAGTGATCACAGAATGGAGGCTGGCAGGGATCTTGGAAAGTCAGGTAATCAATCAAGAGGAGCGGGAGGGAGGTCTGGAACAGGGCAGTGACAGTGCATGACAAGAATGTTACCTGTGCCAGAGGCACATCGAGGCGCTCAGGAAATATCTGCTGAATGAACAAGTGAAGGAAACATTTAAGACGCAGCATCTCGGGGCTGGGGATTTAGCTCAGCGGCAAAAGCGCCTGCCTGGCAAGCGCAGGGTCCTGAGTTCGATTCCCGGTACCGGAGAAAAACAAAACAAAACAAAACAAAAGAAAAATACTAACCATTGATAATTTCCTACCATTTTGTCTGTAATTTGCTAAGTCCCCCTATTATTATGCTATCCTTCTTTTATTCTTTAAAATAAAAAATAAAAAAATAAATAAAAAAAAATAAGACGCAGCATCTCCAGGGCCAGGTGATAGCTACACATGAGGCAAGGGGAAAGGGAAGGCAGGTTTATCTAGGTGGACGGATGTGATGTTTCCTATGGTCCCATCACTGGGGGAGAATGGGCTGGTGGGGATGATAATGAATTCAGTGCAGGAAAGACAAGGGATCACCTGTACAGGTGAATGTAGAATCTGAGTCTCATTCTGTTTTCAGTTTGGGAGTTGATGATGGTTTAAGGTTTACCAGTGAATCAAGTTGTTTAGGGAGAGAGTATAGAATAACAGAAAAAGGCCTGAGCCAGGGAACTCTGGGAAATCCCAGCATCAATAATTGCTGAGTGGGGGAGGAGATGCTGGCAAGAGGAAGAAATTGGTGTGTGTGTGGGAGGTGTCAGGAAAGGAAAAGAAGGGAAGGTAGTTCACTTGATCAAAGAACCAATCCAAAATCCACAAAGTCAGGAGGTAAAGGAACTCAGGCCTGCCTTACTCTAGTGCTTTCTGGAAGTTTCTGACTTAGAGGAGGTTGACTTGTCCAAGCTCATCTAGTTGTTGAAAGGGAATGTTAGGACTCAAACCTAGACCTTCCATCTCCACGTTCTGTCCACTACACAGGGATTGTCTTCACAGTTTAAACGTCATTTTGTCATTTGTCATCTCTGAAAATTGTCTCTGCTGTGTCCAAAACTATGCTCTTCTTGGGGTTCATTGAACCTTGTATTAGTCTTAGAAATACAGAGAACCCCTTAAGCTGCCACTCTCTGAAGCCAGACTCTTGGCTCAAATGTCCCCCTCTGGGGTGGAACATGGCTTCTACAGAGGGGTAGCATGATCCAGGGGGTATCAGAGAGGAAGTCTTGGGCTCCTAAGTGAGCTCTGCTGCTGGAAATATGTTTGGATTCCATGGCCTGAATTTTCTCCTCTATGACATGGGACAGGGAAGGGGACAAGGCCGGGGACCCTGGAGAATCAGAGACAGGGATTTCAGAGACTCGGCCAGCACCTTGTCTGCAGAACACATGCTATGTCAGTGCTGCTCTCTGCCCTCCTCTCTTTTAAAACATGTACCTATCTTTAGAGGTAGAGTAGATAGGGACTGGGGATCTAACTCGGCGGCACAACGCCTGCCTGGCAAGCACAACATCGTGAGTTCAATTCCTGGTACCGGAAAAAAACAAAAACAAAGAAAAAAAAAGAGTTAGAGTAGATACCATAAATAAGAATGGGTGGCAGGTAAACACTAGGCACTCTTCTAAGCCCTGACAATAGTCTTTTCCGGTAGATGATGCTATCAACCTCATTTTAGAGAGAGAAACTGAGGCACTGCTAACAGTCCCCTGGCCAGTCCAGTGGAGCTGAGATCTAAGAACTGGCCTTTATGGCTCCAGGGCCTGGCTTTTTGGGTTCTGCAGCTGTTTGGTTCCTCTCCTTTGAAGTGCTCAAGGGGACTCATTTAAAGCTACTGTCAGTTTTCCTCCAACTCTGGGTGTGGAGGAGCGGGAGGGGTCTGAATACCTGAAGGCCTCAAGCCATAGCAGATCTCGGTGTAAAATCTCCGGTCATAGCTGTCGCAGTAATGCCAGTGCTCCGCATCGTACTGCAGCCCGTCTGCGAAGGTATAGGTGCCCTGGAATACAAGGGCACACAAGGAGCCAAAGCTTCCCATCACCACAGACAAGAAGTGATGGCCGTCAAAATTATTGTGTTTGTGAGGGTTAGAGGGATGGAGGTAAAGTACTGAACTCTGTGCCCGCCACTCGGAGTAAGGTAACTCTCAGTGTGAACTTGAGCAGATGACCTCCTCTCTTGGCCCTTGGTTTCCAAAATTGTAAAAGTAGGATAATGCTGATACCAAGTTAATGGGGAGATTGAGACTTCAATGAGATGGTATATGTAAAGCATTTAACGTACAGCAGGTAGCTGATTGAGGTAGCTGATTCCATGTGTCAACTTGATTGGGCTAAGGGATGTAGACTGAGGAAAGCAGCTGACCTTTCCTCATGCAGGCAGGCATCATCTATCCAGTCCTTTGAAGGCCTGGATAGAAGAAAAAAGGCAGAGGAAGGGCCAGTTTGCTCTCTCCTCAAGCAGGGATACCTATTTTCTCCTGCTCTTAGACATCGCCACTCCTGATTCGCGAGCCTTTTGACTCTGACAGGGACTTACACCACTGACTCCCCTGGTTTGTCAGCCTTCAAGTCTGAACTAGACCCATGCTCTGATTTTCTTGGGCCTTCAACTTGCAGAGGACAGATTGTAGGGCAGACTCCATAATCTCATACATAAGGGGCTGGGGATTTAGCTCAGCGGCAAAGCGCCTGCCTAGCAAGCGCAAGGTTGTGAGTTCGGTTCCCGGTACCGGAGAAAAACCAAAAAAAAAATCTCATACATAAGCCAATCCCTCTTGACAAACCCCTCTCTCTCTCTTTCTATCTATCTCCTTTTAGTTCTGTTTTCCTGAAGAACTCTAATCACAGGCATATATTATTCTTTATTATTATCATAGTTAGAAAGGTCAGAGTCATCAGGCATGGCCCTTTGTCCCAAACACGTGCATTCTGCTTTTGCTACCTTAACGCTAAAGGGAGCCTCAGGATGTACAAATGATGTTGGCCTAGGCATCAGGAAACAGGGGTTGGAAATTCCCACAATAGTCTTACTTCCCTGTGTGACCTTGGGTAAGTCACATCCCCTTCCTGGGGCTTAGATCGTCCAAGCTATAAAATAAGAAGTGTTTTTGAAGCCTTTTTTTGGATTATGAGTCAGGCCCTGACATACTCTTAGTGAAACTGATAAAACCTATAGATCTTTTCCCCACAGAAAACCAGTCCCATATACATAGAAACTTTTGTATAAAAATTAGGTTTCACTGATCCCTGAAATCTATTCACAGTCCATAGATCCCAGGTTTGGGATCCTTGAATCAGGTAATTTGTAATGATAGTAGCAGAGGTGGTGGTAGTGATAGTAAGAGCTAACATTTATTGAGTGCCTACTGCATGTCAGGAACTTGGCCAAGTGCTCACATATTTTATCTGATTTACTTCCACAGCCCTCTTAGTAGATGCATATTACTATTCTGGCAGGCTGAACAGTAGTCCCCCAAACATGCCCATGTCTGCTGGGATGGCAAATGAGACTTTGCAGATGCAATTAAATTAAGGATCCTGAAGTATGGGAAATTATCCTGAATTATCTGAGTGTGCCCAAGGTCCTTATAAGAGGGAAGTAGCAAAGTCTGGGTGAAAGGAGATGAGATGATGACAAAAACAGGGAGAGGGAAGGTGATGCAGTGCCGGAAGTAGAGGTCAGAGTGATGCATGGTCAGGAGCCAAGGAATGCAGGCAGCTTCCACAAGCTGGGAAAGGTGAGGAAACAGGTCCCTCCCTAGAGCCTCCGCGAGGAATGTGGCCCTGATGACCCAGTTTATACTTCTGACCCAGAGCCTCAGAGAGGCAAAATCACGGGCCCCGGATCAGATAGGAAGAGACATAAGAGAACCAAAACTCATCACAGCCTCTCCAGTAGCAACTTGCAGATCCAGGGGGAGAAGATTCTAGAGTGGTAGGAGGTCCAGAAGCAGGGAGGAGAGAGAATGGAAGGAGGTGGGCACCAGGCAGGGAGGACAGGGCACCTGTAGGGGGCTCTTCCTGCTCAAGGACTCCCCTCTGCAGCCCCTGGCTGATCACCTTCACAGCCAGTCCCTTCTCCCAGACAGCGTCGTATCGGCTCCCGCTGGGGAAGTACAGGGTTCCTTTGCCGTGGAACATGCCGTCCTTCATCTCCCCAACATATCTTGTTTCAGTAGGCATGATGTATTCAGCATTGCCCTCCATCCTGCAAGGACACAGCAAGTGACTGAGAACGTATGCGACAGTTAGAAGGAGGGCGTGGGCAGGGACTTCATCCCCAGCATCCTCACACATTATTGTCCCAGCAATAAAACATACTTTTTAGGGGATGGGGATCTAGCTCAGCGGCACAGCACCTGCCTGGCAAGCGTAAGGTCGTGAGTTTGATTCCCAGTACTGGAAAAAACCAAATCTTTTGTTTTGCTTTCCTCGAAATCTTAATATCACTGTTCAAGAGCGGGGCACAGTTTTGTTTCTTTACCCTCCCTTCGCCTACAGGCTATCCTGGAGATGCTGCTGTCCACTGCAATATCTCCCTGCTAGGCCCAGAGAGGGCAGGGATGTACCCAAAGCCACACTGTCCTCTGTTACCAGCCCCACCCCAGCCTGGAGCAAGTGGGATATTTGAAGTAGGAAATTAAGAGGCAGGAGATACGGGTTTGAATCTTACTTCACCATTTCCTAGAAGTATAATCTTGGACATTTCCCCCAATTATTTTCCTTACTTCCTTCTTTCCTTCCCTCCTTCCTTCCTTCCTTCCTTCCTTCCTTCCTTCCTTCCTTCCTTTCTTTCTTTCTTCTTTCCTTCATTCCTTTCCTTCCTTTCCTTCCTTCCCTTTCTGTACCAATTGCACAAGGTACAGTGAGTCCCTGCGGGGGATAGACAGGTCTGTCCAGGAGCATTGTGCCAGATTCCAGCTGGCCTGGTGGCCAGATTCCCGTGGGTGCAGTGGCTGAAGTGAATCTGAGATAAACCTTGCTGATGGATGGTGGTTCCCTAGAAAGGGCTGATGAGTAGTAAGTGCTTAAGAAACATGCTTTTGTTCATTTCTTCAATTCTCCATTCCTCTCCACTGGCGAAAGCCACTTCTAACCCTGGCCTTCTCCAGGTTTCTGCTAGCACTACTGTGGGAGCCTCAGCACTTTCTGTTCTGCATTATGACTGTATGCCTCCTCACCCGTCTGGAGTCAGCACTTCTCCAGGGGAACACCTGGGGCTCCCGGCATTTAGGACCCTTCTCCTTCTCCTCTTCTTTCTCATCCTCCTCCCCTCCTTCTCTTCCTCTTCCTTTTCTTTCTCCTCCTCCTTCTCCCCTCCCTTCCTCCTCTCTGTTCACTCTCTCTGTCCCTCTGTCTCTCTCTCTCTCTTTGGTAGTACCGAGGATTGAACACAGGATCTTCACATGGAGCTATATGCCCAGCTCCTTTTTGAGACACAGTGCTACTACGTCATGAAATTGACCAGGCTAAACTCAAACTTGACATCTTCCTGCCTCAGTCTTCTAGAATGCTACGATTATAGGCCTGAGCCACCATATCCAGTTCACATTTCTTTTTTTCTTAAATGAAAGTTATTTTTAAAAATTGAATGCTTTATTTCTCATATTTTTCTTTTTAATGTTTTAAAAATGTATTAGTTCAGGGGCTGGAGATATAGCTCAGCAGCACAAGCTCCTGCCTGGCAAACGCAAAGTCCTAAGTTCGATTCCTGAGACAAAAAAAAAAAAAGTATTAATCTGTTTGTGATACATAAATATATTCATTGTGGGGAACTGGTACATATATGTATCACTCTTCCTTCTTTTTTAATTTTTATTTTTATGAGTACATGTTTGTACCACATAGTGATCGTATCCCTCATGCTGAACTGGTATATGTACATAATACATTTCAGCTCTTTTTGCATTCCCTTTCCCTCTGCCCCCTCCTCTTCCCTCCACCTCTTGTTCTTCTTCCCATTTGAAAAAGACACCTCTTTAATTCCTATTATTTAATCTTTATTTTAATCTTTACTTGTATTTAAACTTGCATGTCTGATTTATTTCATTTAACATTATGTTTCATTACAGTTTCATTAAACTCATTTATCCTTCTTTATAGCACAGTAGTACTCCATTGTGAATAAACACCACATTTTCTTCATCAGTCTATCTGTTGATGGACATATGGGCTGCTTCCAAGATTTAGCTATTGTGAGTTGTGCTGCTATAAACATAGGTGTGCATGTATCACTGTAATATGATGCCTTTAACTCTTTTGGGAAGAGAAATAGCTGGATCAAAAGGAATTTCTACTTATTTATCTATTTATTTATTTATTTTTGGTTTTAGTTTTTGAGGAATCTCCATACAGATTTCCATAGCGGTTGTATTAGTTTACATTCCTACCAACATTGTAGAAAGGTTCCTTTCCCCCCACAACTTCACCAGCATTTGTTATTACTTGATTTCTTGATGACAGCCATTTTTTCTGGAGTAAGAAAGAATCTCAGTATTGATTTGTTATTTCACGCATTTATTGGCCACTTGCATTTCTTTTTCTGAGACATGTCTACTAGTTTCAGTTGCTCATTTTTTATGAGATCTTTTATTTTGGGGCTCTAACTCTTTTTCATTTCTTTATATATTCTCAATGCTGGTTCTCTTTCTGAGGTGTAGCTGGCAAAAAGTTTTTCCCATTCTGTAGGTTGTCTCTTCATTCTGATGGTTGTTTCCTTTGCTGTGCAGAAGCTATTAAATTTGATACGATCCCATTTGTTGATTCTTGATGTTGTTTCTTGTGCACACTTCCTTCTTAAACAGGCTCCCGGTAAACATCTACTGAGTCAGGAATGATGGACACAGAGGGCAGTGAGCTGATGGGACAGACAGCAGGACGTGCCAGCACGGACCCCGTGGAGAAGTGTGCAGCGGTGAAAGTGCAGCATCTAAGACAGGCAGACTTGGGATGCAGCCGGCTCCATCACCTTGTTCTTCAATGACTTTGGCCCGGACCCTTTGCCCCTCAAAACCCGAGTTTCTCATGTGCAAAATGGGGACAAGGACACCACACTCTACCCCAAAGGTGTCCAGACACTGAGACCAGATAGTGGAAGTGACACTATAGTGGAAGACTGGGTACAGAGTAAAAGCTCAAAAATAATTTTGCTTTCACTCCACTGCAAGAATTCGAGAGAGAGAGAGAGAACTCTTCTCTCCCTGGCTCTGTGCTTCAGAACCTCGTCTCCACAGTAAAATCCCAGGCCCTTCTTTGAATTCACCCTTCACACCCCACCCCCTTTTTTTTTTCTGCCAGCTGGACCCTAGTGGTTAGATGTCCCCAGTGTCCCCTGAGCAGAGTTCATCCTCTCCTCCCCAGACCAGCTCCTCCTTGAGAGCTCCCTGGCGCTGGGCGTGGTGGCGCATGCTTGTAATCCCAGCACTCAGGAGGCTGAGGCAGAAGGATCGTTGAGAGTTGGAGAGCAGCCTGGGCTACAAAGTGCGCTCAAGGCCAGCCTGAACTGCATAGCGAGACCCTGTCTCAAAAAGACAAAAAAAAAAAAAAAAAGAAAAAAAGAAAAAAGAAAGGAGCTCCCTATCTCCCTGATCTGCACCCAAACCCTCCTGGTTCAAAGCCTGGACAGGGCTCTGGTCTGGAGCTGACAGCAATCTCTAGATGGAATTGAAGCCAACCAGCTGCCAGGTCCTGGCAATGATGCCAGCTCTCTCCTCCATTTTCCTCTTTCCTGTAGCCTGATGTAGTAGACCACCACAGGAGAAAGAAAAACTCCTGGGCCCTTTACCTTATCAAAGCATGATTTGAGTTTTCTGTTAAGAAAGACAAGAGTTTAAAAATGGTTTTTGCAACAACAACAAAAACAAAACACTGGGACTTTTTACTTGGGTTTACAAATGTCAGGTAGGTAATGAAAAGTAAAAAAAAGCTTGACCTTCACGTTGTAAAACTTTGGTCAAATCCTCCTTGGCTCTGCATACAGGCATATTAGTCATTCAAGGAATAGCTTGTGTATTAGCCGTAAAATGTACCTACCCTATCTTGTCACTCTTCAAAACAGAACATCTACACCTAGAAGCCTCCATTTTTTTTTTTTTTTTTTTGGTCTTTCTGAGACAGGGTTTTGCTATGCAGTTCAGGCTGGCCTTGAACTCACTTTGTACTTGAGGCTGGCTTCAAACTCACAGTACGCCTCCTGCCTCAGCCTTCCGAGTACTGGAATTACAGGCATGAGCCACCATACCTGGCTTCCATTATTTTAAAGCTATGGTCACCAAGGATTCCAGCAAAGGCACACATGGCTCTTCTAGTCATGAGGATTCAATTTAAGCTAGGAAATCAGGACTGAGAAAAGGCTCAACCAGATGCAATCCCACTTACAAGCACCCTAAAAAACTGGTTCCTGGGCTCTGCTGATGGGCCAGTCTAGCTGCTCAAGTTAGAATCCATTTTTTTTTTTTTTTGCTTTCCTTTGTCAAGGGCCAGCCTAATCTACAGTCAGCTTTTCACGCTAAAATCAATCCCTTGTCACTTTCCTTGCTTTATAATTAAAGCTTTTTCCCTGTAAGTTCATGCTTCAGTTTTAATTTCTATTATCACTAAAAGCAAGGACACATGCTACCTGGTGACAGCTTCAATGTCTCTGCCTTGGCCCAGGGTCCTGCTGCCTTGAGACAGCCACAGTGGGCCCTGATCCCATCTCACCTTCCTTCAGCCTGCCTCCGTCCTCTACCTCCCTCTTCCTCCTCTTTCCTTCCTCTCCCTCTATCACTTCTTCCCTTCCTCTTTAAAAGTTTATTCAAGGTGAAAAGTCTTTACTCAAAATTCCAAGCAAGTTAAAATGAGCAAAAGAGCTGGCTGGGCATGGTGGCCTATGCCAATACCAGCAGTCCGAGCTGGGCATGGTGGCACATGCCTGTAATCCCACAACTAGGGAAGCTGAGGCAGAAGGATCGGTGCAAGTTTGAGACCAGGCTGGGCTACAAAGTGAGCTCAAGGCCAATCTTTCTGAGACCTTGTCTCAAAAAGACAAAAAAAAAAAACAAAACCAGCACTCAGGAGGCTGAGGCAGGAGGATTACTGTGAGTTCAGGGCCAGCTTGAACTACATAGTAAAACCCTGCCTCAGTAAGACAAAAAAAAAAAAAAAAAAAGACCAAAGGGCTGCTTATAGTGACTTCAGGGAGGACCTGATTACCATACCTTAAATGTCTGCTGCACATTCTCTCACTAGTTCTTTCAGCCAAAGTTTACTGTGTCTATCACACATATGGGCAACAGGGAAGGATACAGAACTGAAAGAGACTAGATTTCCAATGCTCGGCCTTACCTAGGCTTTCAGTGGCTCCTCCACTGCCAGAATGGCAGAAAGTATTGAGATCTCTGTGCCAGAGTACAACCCACCTCTCCATTTCCCCTTGCATAGCACCTCTAGATCCACCCTTCCTCCAGCCAAACTTACTGCCTGCCTTCCCTGCACGTGTCCTCTGAGCTATTGCCCTGCTGTAGGAAAACATTCTTCACTTAGCTTCTCCACCCACTAAATCCTACCCAACCTCCAGGGCCCATTTCAAATACTATCTACTAGGGGCTAGGGGTACAGCTCAGTGGCACAGCCCCTCCCTGGGAAGTGCAAGGTCATGAGTTCAATTCCTGGTACCAAAAGTAAATAAATAAATAAATAAATAAATACATACATACACACATACCACTTGCTCTATGAAGCTTTTTGGGGACTATCCGAGCTGAATGAGTCCTCTGTAGGGGCCCAGCAGCAGGGCTTTATAATAAAAACTTCACTCAGCCAAATACCATTACTTAGGGGACTCTGACCAGGTTATGTAATTACTGTGAACCCCGTTTTTTTTTTTTTTTTGTAAAACTGGATAATGATATCTGTCACCTAGAATTGCTATAAGGTGGGAATGTGCAAGCAAAGCCATCTGCAGCAGAGCAGTTATTACATAAGTATTATCAGTCTCCCTTCGTTCCCTCGATTTGTAGGTCTCACTTGGCACTTACCTTATGGTGCTTTGCCATGGAGTTAATCTAAAACACAATTGTGCTACTCTTCCAGGGAAATCATGATCTTGCATTCAGAAAGATCCTATATTCACTTTTTATTTTTTATATTCACACATGGTACATGGCTCTTTTAATGTTTTATTGAAGTATAACTGACACAACAAAATGCACATATCTAAAGACTACAGTTTGATTAGTTTTGATTGATATCTGGTAAAAACATCATTACAATCAAGGAATCATTCATATATCTGTTACCCACCAACCCCCTAAAGTTTCTGCACACCTTCTAGAATCTTTCCCTCCTCCCCACAACCCTCATTCCCAGGCAACCACTGCTTTCTATTACCATAGATTTGTGCATTGTCTACAATTTTATACAACTGGCATCATAAAGTATGTACTCTTTTTGTGCGTGGTGCTGGGGATTGAACCCAGGGCCTCATGCATACAGGCAAGCTTTCTACCACTAAGTTACATCTCCAGTCCCGCATATGTACTTTTTTTGGCTTCTTTCACTCAACATAATTATTCTGCAATTTATTCATGTTGTTATGTGTACCAATAATCCACCACTTTTTATTGCTGAGTAGTATTTGAATGGATATAATTCATCTCCTGTTGATGGGACACCTTGGTTTTTTCCAGCTTTCAGTTATTACAAATGAATAGGCTGTGAGCCCTCCTGTACGTCCCTTTGTATGGAAATACACTTTCCCTTCTCTGGGGTAAATGCCCACAAGCGGAAAGGCTATCTAATTTTTTATGAAATCAGCAAACTTTTCCAAAGCACTTGTACCATTTTACATGTTTGCCAGCAGCAATGGATTCTACAGAAAACTAAAGTTAAATATCAACTTCCTGGCATACAAGGAAGCTATTCTCTTCCTTTAAACTCTAAAAGGAAATACTTATTGAGAGTTTGAGGCAGGAGGATTGTGAGTTTGAGGCCAAACTGGGCAAGGTAGTGAGACTCCATTTCAAAAATAAACAAAACTCTAAAAGGATTACTAGCTGGGCGTGGTGGCGCATGCCTGTAATCCCAGTACTCGGGAGGCTGAGGCAGGAGGATTGTGGCGAGTTTGAGGCCAGCCTGGGCTACAAAGTGAGCTCAAGGCCAGCCTGAACTGAGACCCTGTCTCAAAAAGACAAAAAATAAAATAAAAAAAAGGATTACCCCCTTTACAACAAAAAAATCCTATTGGTTCTTTACTACATATAAATAACATAACATCCTTATGCTCCATTACATATTGCTTGCAACACTCTGATGGTTTAGCATTTTCCCATTTAACATATGAAAAAACTAAAGAATGGATGTTAAGTTTACATACAGTAAGTAGTAGACTGAAGCCCAGACCTCTCTCATACTGAAGCCCTTTTTCCTCTACTGTGATGTCTCTCTCATCACATGCTGAAATTTGAGAAACCTCAGATACAACTCTAAATAATTACTGTTTAAAAAAACCAAATTCAATATACAGTACATGGCCAAATTATGGAAAGAAATATAATAAGACAACTGCTGACTTCTTGCCAATTACGGAAAATTGAGAAGCCCTCTTCAGGTTTGGGCATCTCTACTTTGGTTACAGCAGTACCAAAAAAATGCAAGCAACACACAGATTCCAAGGACGAAAGTATGGACACAGCTGCTGCAATACACCACTCATTAAAAAGAAGTCAAGATTCTCAAATTTTTGTGTCTAATATACCTAAGCTGTCAAGCTTTTATGGGAATAAATAACATGGTTTGGATACAGAAAGGGGTTCATACCCTGACTCCATTGCTTCCTAGCTGTGAATCAACAATGGTGGGCAGGTCATTTCTCTTCTCCTAACCCTAATTCCTTTATTTGTGAGATCAGTGTGAATTATTTCCCAGAGCTGTGATAGGGAGTACCCACCAAGCATCTCTACCCCTCACCTGCTGAGCTGGACAAAAGTGTGAAACCTTCTAAGTTTTCCTTTTCTTGTTTTGAAAGTGGAAGGTAACATTGCCCTTGCAAAGTTGATTAAGGATTAAAGATAGCATCCCATATATACTTCTATTTTCCCTAGGAATCGATCTCCCATCCCTGGCCAGACCATAGGTTTCACTGTCCTTTGGACTCAGAATGCCCTAGGATTCCACCAGCTTGTAAATATAGAGCATGGGTTTCCCCAAAATCTTATACATCACATTTTTCCATCTCCACAATCCCATGATGGAAGTACTTCATACCCCTAACCAGCACTTGTTTGGCATTTTCCTTCACCTCACTCAGCCTCAGTCTCTCCAGCTATAAAACAGACTCTACTTCATCTAGGGTTGTTGGTAAGGAAGAGTGGCCATCTCTGTGTGTCCTCCGCTTCTGTCTACCACAGCACTAACTACAGTGAATTGTTACCTGTGGTATGTGAACTTGTCTCACTATATTTGAGTGAGTCTTTTGAGGGCAAGAATTAGGACCAGGGTCAAGTTCAGGGCTTAGTACTTGGAGAATAATCATTTGTCAAATTGAGTGTTTTTTACTATTGATCTATTACTGATTTGTGTACATAATTCTAATAATTCCTAAATCGTGAACTCCTTAAAGGAAGACTACACGTATAGTTGGATCTCTGCACTTTCAAGTTCTGCAACTCTGGGTTCAACCAACCATGGACTGAAAATACAGGCACCATTTGGTATGGAAGGAATCAAAGACCTTCTCACATGTGTGCATGCTCAAGTCCCATGTCTAAAATGACACGGATTTGCATATAACTGACTATACATCAATCCTATATACTTTAACCCTCTCAAAATTATTTATAATACTTAAATGAGTATAAAGGTTATGTAAATAGAATAAAGACAAGAATAAAAAGTTTGTTCATGTTCAGGGCAAAAGCAATTTTGACCCAAATATTTTCTATCTGTAAAAGCGCCAATCGGGAAGGAAATCCATGTGAAGTGCTGGAACCAGTGCCCCTCGGATACTCAGAGATGACTGTATGCTGAACTCGGAGTGGCTGCAGTTATCTCCTCTATCTCCCTGTGTCTTCATAGAACTTACCTCCATCTGACTTTATCTTTTTATCTGTTTGTGGCAGTAAACTCCCAACTGGACTATACACTCCACGAGAGCAAGGATATTGACATTTTATTATAATTCCCATATCTAAGGCTGGCGGATAGCAAGCGCGCGCGCGCGCGCGCGCACACACACACACACACACACACACACACACACCTATATACAGAATGAATGAATGAATCTCAGCTCTGCTCCTTATTAGATTTGAGTCCTTGAGCAAGTTACTCGAGTATGATTCTGAGAGTGCCTGGAGCAAAATCCTTCGCAGAGGCAAAAGACAGCCTTCTTTTCTCGGTCCCAGATATTCAGAGCACAGTGAATCAAACGGGACCCTTACCTCCTATTTACATATTCCCCGATAAATGTGCTCCCTGTGTACTCCATGGCGACCGCTTCTAGTTTCCGGCCCTTGGCTCCTAGAGTCTCGATGTACACCTCCTCACTATGACAACCAGGCGAGGGAGGCGGAGCCAAGACAAAGTCCCACCCCTTGGAATAGCGAAACTTCCTGACATTGCGCATGCTCCGTCGCTCGTCGCTCGCGGTTGGGCAGAGCATTGCGCCTGCGTGCCGGGGGGCTACGCATGCGCAGGTGCTGTGTGCACCTCCTCGGCGGTGGAAAGGGGAGTTCAAGGAGACCCGGGAGCACAGCTAAGGGCTCCTAGCCGGGGTCCGGGCTTCTGCAGTCATGCCGGGGATAGTGGAGCTACCCACTCTGGAAGAGCTGAAAGTGGATGAGGTGAGACTCGTCCGGAGGACTGGCAAGAGGGGCAAAAAGGCTGCAGCTTCCCAGGCCTGGGCCTGTTACTGCTGCGCCTCTGCGGACCCTGGGTTCCGCGATTCCGCTCGCCCCCAGCCAGCACACGGGTTGACCCTGAAAGGCCCCTGCACGGCGCGGGGAATCGCGCCCCTTCCCCACCCTTCGCCTCTCGCTGTGGCTCTAGATTCCCACCACCCCACAGCGATCTGCTTCTCCTTCCGTGAATAATCATGGTACTTTAAAATTAAGCGTCAGCCATGGCCACTTCATGTCGTTCAAACCTCTCCGTGAAGTGAGTACGCCGCCCCGGATGCTCACACTGGAAGGAGAGCGACAGTCACCTTACGGTAGTGTCCTCGGTGCAGAACTCATTACCGCGGGACTGGATGAGCTGACAGCTGCGGTGCGGTGTTTGGTAACAGGACACATTTAAAGCATTCATTTGTTAAGAAATATTTGAATAATTACTCTGCGCACGTACATTGGGAAATACGAGATGAAGTCCCTGCTGGCACAGAGTTTATACTCTGATAGCGAGAGAGATACATCCAGAGGCAGTTGCAGTACAGCGTAGTTAGTGCTATGAGGGACAAAGTAAAAACAGTGTATTGCTAATTACAGCCGACGTGGTCAAGCCAGCCCTAGAACCGAGGCAGGGTGTAATAATTGCTTTGAACGCATTAATTTATTAAATTCATCCCAGCAGCACTAGAAGGTAGGATATAGTCTGTCTTTCGATGTTGTAGATGAGAAATGGGCCCTGTGAGTAGAAGTGATTTGCCCGACACCACATACCTGGAGTGTGGTAGAGTTGGAACATGAACCCAGATCTAGATTTGAAATATATGCTTTTAAACTACCATATAATGGGCAAAACCTCAATAAAGTGAGAAGGCTGCGTAGGACCTTAAGTGTTTAGGGATTCAGGTTGTTTGACGAGACCCTGTCGGTGGGAAGTAGCAGGTGCCGATCATAGAGAGGTACACTAGTCTGACTGAGATAGGATTTGGTAGTAAATGACAAGGCCATACCAGTTCGTTTATATTTGATCCTGTAAGTGAGGTGGTAGGAAGAGAGGGAAGGTTTTAAGGTAGAAGACTGACATGGCCGGACAAGGTAGTAAGTATTAAAGGGAGGGCAGGACTAAAAAATACAATACATACTAGGCACTATGTTATTTTACCTGCATTACTTCATTTGTCTTCTTGAATGCCTGTGAGGATGGCAGCTGTTACTTTCCTCAGATGAATAAATTATTAGTTGTGTTCAGGGACTTTATGAGAAGTCACATTTTCTTTTTTTTTTTTTTTTTTCCTGGTACTGGGAATCAAACTCACGACCTTGTGCTTGCCAGGCAGGCAATGTGCCGCTGAGCTAAATCCCCAGCCCCAAGAAGTCACATTTTCTAAGAGGTCCCAGGAGGGTTGTTGCCCTGGAGCCAGTCGTTTATTTCTTGCCCTACCATGAAGCCAGGTTACACTTGAGTTACTGTATTTTTGTTTTTGTTTTCTTCCGGTACTGTAATCGAACTCACAACCTTATGCTTGCCAGGCAAGCGCTATGCCGCTGAGCTAAATCCCAAGCCCCAAGTTACTGTATTTTTGGTTGGACTTTTAGTTTGGTTCCACAAACATCTGAGGTTGTGTTTTATACAAGACTTCTCTATCTGGAATAAATTCACCCTTAAGGTTCACACGATTGAGCTGAGATAAAGCTAATGATGTAAATAGCTGTGATATAAGACAAAGTACATTTCAATACTACAAAAGAGGGGAAGACATGGTTTAAGGAAAGAGTAGTACTTACTGTTAAATGTAGCTTCTAGGCCTAACTCAGTCACCTTGATTAGTTGCTTTGAGCATTTGCAGACCCAGGTATGAGGTGTTTCGAGCTGTACAATTGTCTGAGGCTGTTAAGGGAATAGAAAAAACACTTGTTGGGCATAATGTAAAACATGGGTAAATGCCACTCAAAGACTGGCATTCTTTTTTTTTTTGGTTTTTCTCCGGTACCAGGGACTGAATTCACGACCTTGCGCTTGCCAGGCAGGCGCTTTGCCGCTGAGCTAAATCCCCAGCCCCAAAGACTGGCATTCTTATGGGTGGACATGGAAAACTCCAAGGGTAGGAGATGAGCAAAGGTAAGGAGATGTGAGAATGCAGGGGACTCAAAAGTGGTTCTCAGAATGATGAGTTCAGTATTTTGAGAGAACAGCAAATAGTCCTTTTGGAGTGTTGGGGATGAGAAGGCTGGGAAGATAGTTTAGATCCAGAAACCTTTGAAGTCTTACTAGGAAGTTTGGGTTTTATTCTGTCGTTAAAGCTAAATCCTTTGAAGGGTTGGTTGCTAATTTGTTTTAATAGCAAAGTAAGAAAATAAAGATCACTTCAGGAGCTTTATGAAGAATGGATTGAAGCTAGAAAAGAAAAGGATTACTAGTCTCAGTGGCTGTTAAAATTGAAAAAGATGTTAATGAACCTAATTTAACTGATGACAATGCTTGCAGAGAAGGGGCAAGTATAGCACTTGTATCTGGAGTTAATCTGACTTAGCAATGGATTAATAACAGAGGCAGGAAAGGTTGAGGATGAGTAGTGAATTTGCAACATAGCAATAGACCTTGGGAAGCCAAAAGAAGCAGCAAGTGTGGGGAGCAGGTTAAATCCATTTTGGACCTCGCCGACTAAGAGTTATGACACAATCTCATGGAAAAAATCTTCAGAAGCTTTGAGCTATAAAATCCTTGGACACATTCACAATTTTGAGTAAAAATAAAAATAGCTAATATTGATGATGTATTTTTCTGTGTGTCAGGCACTGTTCTTACTATTCTTGTACATCTTATTTGACCCTTGTAATAATTCTACAAAATAACTACCATCGTGCTCCACTTTGCATGAATTAAAGAAAATATATGGCCTGGTATAAATTAAGTACTATAAAAAGAGGTGCAGGCAACGGTGTAAGGAAGCGTGGCGTGGAAGATCGATAGGCTGTAGATTGGGACTTTCTCCGCCTCCTGTTCCACACCTGCAGCCTGTATGATCCCTGCTGGGCAGGGCGGCTGTGTGAGGGTAGATGAGGAAGGATGTTGAGATGCTGTGTTCCTGTGACAGAGTGAGCTGAGTACGCTTGAGAGGGTATTCATGGTGAGCAGCTGTGGAGGACGCTGTAGCTGTTGGAGTTCACGTCTCAGTGAAGGAGCAGGTGAGGGGATGCGGTGACATCTCAAGTTCTTCACTTGTCCGGTGATGTGGCTGTCCCGAGAAGAGCCCCAGCTGGACTGGAGGTCACAGTCTCTGGTTCCAGTTCTGAGGTTGCCACTGACCTGCTCGTTATCGCAAGCACATCGCTCTTGTTCATCAGTTAAGAAGTGGATTCAGTGAACAGTTGTCCTCCTTAGTTTCCCACCACAGGAATGGTGTTTTGCATACCGAACAACACAGATGTACCTTCATTTTGTTAAGAAGACCTCCACGTCTGTAGAGAAGTAAATAATGCTGAAGGCTTTTTTGTGCATGTGCATGATTGCCATGGGCATTTGAGAAGTTAAAGCAGTCATTTAGGATACTTTAGAGCATTTGACAAGGAAATAAATATGGCTAACTTCATTTTTAAAGTGTATTAAGCTTTAAAAAAAAGTTTGAGTGTATATTTATTCTTCCACCTGTTGATAGGTAATAATAAGCAAACACAGTCCACTTCATTAACCTGAATAAGCTTTTATTTTTAAAAACTTTAATACAAACCTTTACAGATTTTTTAAATACAAGTTTATTAGAATCATGGCAGTTCTCATTTACATCATTACCTTTGTTTGGATAATTATGACAGTTGTAATATTAGTAGATGTAATCATAAGCTTATTCTCTTTCTGTGCCATGTAGACAAATTACTTTTCCTGCTACTGTGTAAAGTATATAAAAATAAAATTATAGACTTTTCCACATTAAGTCCTTAATTTTGCTAATTAAACCCAGTATATATTAAAGTTTAATGCATATTGACTAACAAGATTTTATTCTAGAAATGTGAATCCATTTTAGAAAGTCTGTTCATGCTCTGTGTTGCATTTATAGGTTTTATAAAAAGAAGCTTGAAAATTTTGGTGAATAACAGAGAATTTTAGAGAATAACAGCAACAGTAAAGCAAAACCAATTAACATTACTCCCTTGAGTATCTAAACAGCACTATCCCAGGTATCAACAGTAAATATACCAAACTGCTTTAAAGTTTAAGCAGGGGAAAGTTGCCTGCTGCTGTTGCTGTGGGTTGTTTTGTTTTTTGTCTTTTTGAGACAGGGTCTTGCTATGCAGTTCAGACTGGCCTTGAACTCACTTTGTAGCCCAGGCTGGCCTTGAACTCACAGCAGTCCTCCTGCCTCAGCCTCCCGAGTGCTGGGATTACAGGTCTGCAGCACCTCACCTGGCTTGTTTTGTTTTTTTGAGACAGAGTCTCACTATGTAGTTCAGGCTCACCTTGAACCCAATATGTGGCCTAGGCTGGCCTCCCACCATGGCAATCCTCCTGCCTCTTCAGCCTCCCGAGTGCTGGGATTAAAGGTGTGCACTCCTGTGCCTGACCCTCCTGCTGCTGTTCATCTGTATTGTCTTGGCAGGTTTGGTCAGAGAAGTAAAATAGGAAAATAGAGTAAGAAAGAGAAAAGATAGAAATATTGGAAAGGAAAAGAAACATTGTTTTTAGTTGTAAATGGTAGTTGTTTTCTAATAATCCTCCTAAGTTTTATATCAGAATTAACAAGAGTTCAGTAAGATGGCTAGAGAGGCTGTACAGTGTTTAGTCAAGCAATAAACAATCTGAAAATTCATTAGAAAAACCCCATTTAGGTAGTATCGGAAGTACTAACATATTCAGGAATAAACAAGAAATGTGCAAAGCCCTGTATGAAGGAAACTACAGTTGTAACCCAAGGGTAAGAATGACCTGACAGCAGATAAGTGGAGAGAACTACTGTGTCCTGGACAAGAAGACTTAAGTAGTGTTTCCCTACCTCATTTGTAACTGTTGTATCCCCATTGCCTGGCAAAGTGTGTGTTCAACAGCTACTTGTGCTAGACACTATTTGGGGTGCTTGTGGGAGCCTAGGGAACATTATATTTAATTATAGCTTCGTTTAGGGAGAATTGTTTTTGTTTTTTTTCCCGGTACCGGGAATTGAACTCACGACCTGGCGCTTGCCAGGCAAGTGCTGTGCCGCTGAGCTAAATCCCCAGCCCCGTTTAGGGAGAATTGATATCTTAAAAGTTTTGGATCTCTGTTGAAAACAGAATCTCTGCCCTTTGGGGCTTATGTTCTGGCAGTCAGATGTGGACCACATGAATGATTCCTATGTTTAGCTCATATAGGATAATCAGAGAAATGCTCTCTGAGGACATAAAATTTGAGTAGAGACACAAGACAGACTGAGCATCCTTCATCCGGAAATCCAAAGTCTGAAATAATCTAAAATCTGAAACTCTTTGAGCACTGACGTGGTAATACACAGGGGAAATTCCACATCTGATCTCATATGACAGGTTGCCTCAAAACACAGGTGCACAGCTGGGTGTGGTGTTGCACACCTGTAATCCCTGTACTTAGGAAGCTGAGGCAGGAGAATTGCTGTGAATTCAAGACTATCCTGGACTATATAGTCAGTTGAAGACCACCCTGGACTACATAGCGAGAACCTGTCTCACAAAACAAACAAAATGCTCCCCAAACCAAAAAACAGACGTACAAAATAATATTGTCTAACAATACCTTTAGGCTGTGTGTGTAAGATTAATTTTGGGTTTAGACTTGGGTCCCATCCCCAAGATACACAGATATTTCAAAAATCAGAAACCCCTCTGGTTCCAAGCATTTCGTATGAGGTACTCAACCTTTATAAAAATGCTTTACAACCTTTATAAAAATACTCATTCTTCCCTAATGTAGTATATAACTAAATGTAGTGAAATTCAAATGTAAATGTTGAGGATGTTCTGAAAGAATAGCCAAGAAAATTTCATGTTTTATTTTTTGAGACAGGGTCTCAGTATGTAATTCAGGCTGGCCTTAAGCTCACTATATAACTTAGGCCGGCCTCCAACTCAAGCGATTCTCCTGTTTCAGCCTCCCACATGCTGGGATTACAGGCATGTGCCACCATGCTCAGCTCGCCAAGATGATTTAAAAGGAAGAATGAAGAAGAGTTCACCCAGATAACAGAATACTCTGTTAAATCCTAGTAATTAAACTACTGTGTTGGGAATGGTGGTGCACGCCCCTAATTCCAGTACAGGGTCCGTGGGTGGGGCACTGAGGCAGCAGATAGCCTTCAGAACAAGGCCACCCTGAACTACGTAGTGTGACCCTGTTTACAAAAGCTAAAAAAATGAAAAACAAAATAAATGATGAATGAATAAATGTGACATTGGTATGGGGAAAAAACAGTACAGAGTAGAGGCCTGCAGGACCTTTGCTGGTGCAGCTCTTAGATAGGCCTGGGAGTATTTGCAGTTCCCTGTGAGCCGGTGTGACTGTACCTTGTGTATTTTTAAGAAAATTCACTGAAAGGTAAGTAAATGAGACTGGCATAGTTTCAGGATAGAAACTTTGGATTTGCTCTTTTATGATTTCTTAAAATTTACTAATTCTAATAATTCATTATTAGTCATAATCTGCTGGACTAGATGTGCTTTCTGATCCCTTCCAGCCTCTCAGCTTTCGTGATCCCCTAGTCCTCTGGGGAACGTATAGCTTTATATCCTTAGCCTATTAATTTTATTCCTGAGTGGGAACTCAGTAAAGCTGTCCAGGGTTGGCTCCTCCCCCTTCATTCCTGGTGCCTCGCTTCTCCTTTTAAGGAAGTTTCTGTTAGGGTGTCTTTATCTCTAAAACGGGCACAGTAATGCCAGTTTAGTGGGATTATTGTAAACATGAAGAAAGTAATATATACGAAAGACTGTTGTGATCTCTCGGACCCGAGATCCGAGAGCATTATCGTGGCGGCCCGCATCTCCTCTTTCTCTTGGCAAAGTCAGAACAGCGCTGCCTTGGCACTCTTGCGGTACAGTGGGTAACGCTGAGGAAGCAGCGCTGCTTCAGTCTGGTCTCTCCCACGTTCCTTCCCCAGGTGAAAGTGAGCTCTGCTGTGCTGAAAGCTGCGGCCCATCACTACGGGGCTCAGTGTGACAAGGCCAACAAGGAGTTCATGCTGTGCCGCTGGGAAGAGAAGGACCCGCGGCGGTGCTTAGAGGAAGGCAAGCTGGTCAATAAGTGTGCTCTGGACTTCTTCAGGTAAAAATCCTTGGGTGTCAATGCCTGTGTAGTTGAAGCAAGGTATTTTTGAATAAGTGAACACCCAGCTAATGAAATAGGAGGATAATTTTACAGAAATTTCATAGGCTTTGAAATCAGATAGACCAAGGTAAACAATAAATGATGGTTATTTTGGGTTTTGTTTTTATTATATGGCAAATTCTTTTATCTCTATGAGTTTCAATTTTTAAACTCAAAGTAATACCTATCTTATACAGTATTGCTGTAAGAATTTTGAAAAGGCACAGAATAACCCAGCTCGATTTTTATCATTACTACGGAATGCACAGTCGTGATGGGAGAAAAGGGTGTTGAGTCAGGTTTTGAGGTAGGCCATGTGCCTGATAGGTAACTACAAAAACCCAGGTGTGTAATCATAGAACGTTTTAACAGCCATCTTGGGCAGAGCTGTATTACAAGGGACAGAAACACAACTCAGGGAAGTGGCTTTTATTTCACTGAAGTCCAGAAATGTCCTGGCGTCAGGCAGGTTTGTATTCAAGTGATTAAATGGTTTCAGAACTCCTAGATGTCTTTTTGTCTCCTGTTTTCTCCCCATAATTTCTGAATCCTGCTTTTCTGTGTTCACCTTATTTTCAGAGAAACTCTTCCCCTTGCTGTAGCAGAAACGGCCCCCGGTCACTTGCAGCTGCTCGGCCTTTCTTGCTTAGCAACCCTAGGTGGTGATATTTCTCTCTCTGCGTCTCATTGTCCTGACTGGGTGACACCTTACATGTATTTTGAGCCAGTTGTTCTTCAGGAGAGAAAATGCTCCCTTTGGTCAGGCGGAAAGTGAGGAGTGGTTCATCTAGACCACACTGCTCAGAGACTAATAGCGGTTGCTCCCCCAAATGAAAATGACCAAGATGTTACAGAAGGATGGGGAATAACCGCTGGTTAGCAAAACCACAGTGACACGAGAGGGAAAGTTTAAATACCTTAACAGAATCTCTGCTTTCCTTTTCTTGCTTCTGCTGTCTCTGTCCACAGGAAAAGCTATTTTTGTGGTTAGATTCATAGTCTGTGTATTGTAAAAATTGATTGTTCACTTGAAACTATTGGAAACATCCTTTCAAGTTCCTGTGTAGTTTTCATTTGGGGAAGGAGTTTGAGACAGGGTCTTGCTATGTATTCCAAGCTGGCCTTGAACTCACTACAGTATGTTGCTCAAGCTAGCCTCACACTCAACAGGGATCCTTTGGGCTGCCTCAGTCTTCTGAGTGCTGGGATTACAGGTGCATAGGACCATGCCCAGCTGCTATTATAGTCTTCATGACCATTATTTTTAATGGCTATATAATACTCCACCAGAAGATAAATCAAACATAATGTATATGACCAGTTCCTGCTATTGAACATCACCAATGATTTTAATTTTTTTTTTTTAAGAGCAGAATATATTTATTGAGGGAAAGAAAGCTTCTGTCCAAGAGCAGGACAGAAGGGGGGGCCCAAGTGGGTTACCCCAATTTTTGGTTGTTTTGCATAAATCTATAGTGATTACCTTGCTTTGTAGTAGTTTGTTATCTTTTAATTCCTTGACATAAGTTTCCCGGCAATGAGATTATTCTGTAAAAGGCTTTGAACATTATTTATGACTCTTGAACTTTATTGCCTTACTATGTTTTTAAGTTTTTGCTGTCCTCATCACTGCTTTCTGATATGCATATTTAAATATTTTTAGGTATGAAATGGTGTTTTGTTATGCTTGAATTGGGATTGATGTGATTATAAGCAAAGTTAAATATGTATGTTTATTTAATTAAAAAAAATTTTTTTTATTTCATAAGAGAGCTTTAGCAGAACATTTTTTCTGAGACCAAGAGGCAGTAGGTAAACTGGATGTCACAGCTTCCAAGGTGCCTAACTGCTGGGCTGAAGGGGATTTTTCTGTGGTGAAGTTGCTGTTTGTAGCACCAGCAGGTGATGGCACTTTGGGTGTGGGTATCTGAATTTACTCTGAGACAACTAGTTTGCTGCTTCTTTTTGGACACAGCATTTAAGGTTGTACTCTCCTTGAGATGGCAGCTTTCTGCAGCCAGTGATTGACTCTCAAGTGGAGGATGCGTGGATTCAGGTTATTCCTGCAGTGCTGCGAGGGTACCTAGGAAACTGGTCCTACTGCTGGACTCCTAGGAGGGGAGCTGAGTGGCTGAAGGGCAGAATAAAAAGCAGATTTTCCTCTGGGTACTTACTTTTTCTTGAGATAGGATCTCACTCTGTAGTCCAGGTTGACCTTGAACTCACTATGCTCACTGTGTAGCCCAGGCTGACCTTGAACTCTATGCAATCCTCCTGCCTCAGCCTCCTAGAGTTCTGGGATTACAGGCATGCGCCATCTCTGGGTACTTCCTTAAGCCATCTCCCCTTCCTTCCCCTCCCCTCCTCTCCTTCCTTCTTTTTTGTTATGCTGGGGATAGAACCCAGAGTCTTTACACTTAGCTACATCTCCAGCCCGATTTATTTTGAGACAGGATCCCACTCAGTCATTAAGTTGCCCGGGCTGGTCTTGAACTTAACATCCTCTTGCCTCAACCTCTCAAGTAGCTGGAATGGCAGGCATGTGCCTGGTTTGACTATATTCGTGATAACAAAGAGACATCTGTGTATTTACTTTTTGAAAGTCTATTTCCTTTACATTGTCTGTCACCTCTGACTTCTGTCAGCGTGCCTGTCTCCGACTATGCTTCCTTGTCTTCTAAATTTGCTGAGCTTAAACTCTGTAGAATTAGATTTTAAGAAAATAAATAGGTCCCAAGTGATGATTTTACCTTTTGAATAAAATATTTGAATACTTGTGCCTTTACTTTTTGCTGCATAAAAGAGTAAATTTTATTTCTGAGGTGTGTGTGTATGTTACGCGTACTGGTGATCAACTTGAGCATCTTGAAGTTGTCTTGTAAGTGAATTGAAAGTATTCTCAAACTTTTCAAAAAACAAGATTGTATGTTTGAAGTTTGTGCCTGCTTCCTTTGCATTTCTCTGTTTTTTGTTATTTTGCAAAGAGCTTCCTAACCTAGCCTTTCTTTGCAGGCAGATAAAGCGTCACTGTGCGGAACCTTTTACAGAATATTGGACCTGCGTTGATTTTACTGGCCAGCAGTTGCTTCGTAACTGTCGCAAACAGCAGGCAAAGTTTGATGAGTGTGTGCTGGACAAACTGGGCTGGGTGCGGCCTGACCTAGGAGAACTGTCAAAGGTAAAACAGCTCCTGCTGGGTGTCCCTGTGACCAGGGGGTTGGGGAGCGGTTAGAGAGGGGTCCCTGTGAGTACAGATAGGGTACGAGAAGTACAGATTTACCAAACAGATTAATTATGGAGTGATTGTACAAATCCAGAAGGGAGCATTTTTAACAGTGACATTCCTGTAAAATAGAGCTCCCAGCATGTGTGGATTTGCTTTTGGTTAATTAGCTAATTGAAGACGAGAAAGGAGTAGAGGAGGATAAACAACATGTTGGTAAAACACTGTTAGTCAGAAACATCCTTGAGGTTATTGTAGAATTCATTGGGGACGTGGCATCAGGCTCGTGCCAGACTTTTCAGTAACGCACCTAAGAGTAAAAAGGACATGCTTGTTGAAAACAGATCTCCTTCTCTTTCTCCCGTATCACCAGTCTTATTTGTGGTACTGTCATCTGTGGGAACATCAGAGCTAGCAGCCTGAATATCTTTATTGCTCTTTCTTATTCCATATGGTCCTTTTTAGATTAGCATCTCCTGGAATATTTTCTGAATTCTTTCACTGGCCCTACCGCTTTTCTCTTGTTGGAGAGGAGTTCTTGACCTGAAGTATGTGCATTTCTGGGAGGGGAAGGTGGATCACTTTGGGCCTTAGGAGATAATTCATCCTCTGAAATTGAAGAATTTAAGTGTGAAACTGCATTTTAACTCTAGGAGAGCTCTGTGTGGAAAATAAATCATATATCACCTTCTTTTTAAAAACCTTAAAGGAGACTGAGGCAGGAGGATCACTGAGAGTTCGAGACCAGCCTGGGCTACAAAGTGAGCTCAAGGCCAGCCTGAACTATATAGTGGGACCTTGCCTCAAAAAAATAGATAGACAGACAGACAGACAGACAAAAACCTAAAAGAGATTCTCAGTTGCTTATAAGATAAAGCATCTTCATATCCTGAATCTCTAGTACAGTACTTGGGGAATTCGATCAACAGTTAATCTTAGTTTTCTTTCCTTTGTATGTAGCAGATTGTTGGTTCTTGTTAGACATCAATTCCAGTATCCAGTCTCTAGCTAGAAAAGTGCTAATGAGCTGGGTATAGTCTAAATTATAGCTTCATTCACTTTTGTATTTTGTTCTCACCCATTTGCCCTTTCCTCCTCTGTTCGTTCCCCTGGTGAATTCCTGCTTACCCAGCTGGCCTAAGCTTAGCTGTCAGCCCTCCAGGGGAAAGGAGGGCTGTTAGCCTTTGGCAGAATCACACTTTCACCCATAATCCCCTCCTCGTGACAATATTAAAAATAACTTAATGAAGGATCTACCACATATCAGGCACTTCATGTATACTTTCTCACTTTATTCCAGTAACCCTGTGAGCTACTCATGGCCCCATTTTACTAATGGGAAAGGAGAATTTATCTTAGGCAAGTCAGTCTTTGCAGTTGAGATTTTCTTGACTGTCAGGGTAATGTGGGCGTAAATGCCTTCTGTCTCTTTGCCTGTTACAGTTCACTGCTTCACCATTGCACTGGGCCTGTTGGCTCAGGTCCCCAGGCTGGGTCTTGCCTCTCTCCAGTCCAGCTTCCATGCTTTCCATCTTGCAGATGGGATTGGTTATTTTCCTGCTTCTAGGTTAAAATCCAAACACCATTGTGGACCATCCAGCTTGTCTACGAGTGTTGTATGGGATTTTAAAATGCAGGCTTTAAGCTGGGTATACTGGAGCATGCCTGTAATCCCAGCTACTTGGGAGGCTGAGACAGAAAAATCACAAGTTCAAAGGCAGCCCGGGCAACTTAGTGAACCACTGTCTCAAAAAAAAAACGGTTGGGGTGTAGCTAAGAAGTGGAGTCTTGCCTAGCCTTGGTGGGGCCCCGAGTTCAGTAGCTAGTAACATTTAAAAAAAAAAAAAGTACAACCTTTAGACTAGGCACATCTGGCTTTGTGTCCTAGTTCTTCCGCTCTTAGCCAGCAGGCCTACTGAACCTCTGCAGAGTGACCTGATAGGAGTATAAGAATGAAGTGGAATAGTGTGCTCAGATCATTTCTGACAACATTAATGGCTTGGTTAGGTGTCCCTTTGCTTTGGCCATCCTAAAGACATATCTTGGTCTTCGTAGGTACGTTTTGTTTTTTGTTTTTTTTTTTTTTGGTTTTTCTCCCGTACCGGGAACTGAACTCACGACCTTGCGCTTGCCAGGCAGGCGCTCGTAGGTACGTTTTGTTCCTTCCTAATCTTCCTGGCTGGCTCCTGCTCGCTTCAAGTTTAAGCTGAGTGTTACCTCCTCACAGAGTCCAGACCCCTAGCCTTCAGTGTGGTTGAGGTGTAGTCTCACCCAGTTAGTGTCTCCAGTGTGGTAATTGGTAAAATGGTCATCAAGAGGGTTTGGCGGATACTCCTGTCCATCTCCCTCACTGAACAGTGAGCCCCTTGAGCACAGGGTATTCCGCATTCCTCTCTTTATCCTTAGCTTACACCAAGCAGAGTGATGCAAAGTAGGATTTCCAAGTGTTTGCTCAAGGAATAAATAAGCTTTGCTGGGGCTTCAAAGCTGGGAGCAGTTGGGCAGTAGGAGCAGAGTGGAGACACCAGGGGCTCATTTATGGTCGCAGATGACTGCAAGCTTACTTTTACCTTTGCCTCTTCCATCTTTACCTTTCCCAGATCACCAAAGTGAAGACAGATCGACCTTTACCGGAGAATCCCTATCACTCACGACCAAGACCGGAGCCCAACCCTGAGATAGAAGGAGACCTGAAACCTGCCAAGTACGGCAGCCGCTTCTATTTCTGGACCACGTAAAGCTGGATCCACAGCCCACACTCAGTCATATGTCCAGACAGCGCTTGGTGAAAACGCCCAAGTAGTTTGCATCGACTGATAGTGTGTTCTTTCCTGGATCACAAACATTAACAGAAAAGTTAATTTATGTGACTTGGCAGTTATTCTATACCATTTCCTGTCCATTAAAATTTTTAAAGGAAACAGTTGTATTTTATTATGTTTTATGTAACCTTTTGGCCTTTAAAGATGACTTCCCCTTGCTTTTTCTTCTTGTGGTCCTGCCTGTTCCTCTTGCTTCGTACAGGGAAGCCAGTTAGAGCGTGGAGAAGCGTGTAAAGGAAGGGCTTTGTCACCTGAGGCAGCTCCCCGGGGCCCGTTTGTGTTCACGCACTTTGAAGTCTCAGCTCGCTCTTCGCATCCAACATTTCAAGTAGATAGATTTCCTTAAACGTCATTCCAGGGAAGCATCCAGGATAGACGTAAAGAAACGTACGAGCCTTGTGACTCCGGGCATGCATGGGAAGGGCTCCTGGCTGGGTGTTAGGCAGTCTTGTTCAAAGTTTCTTAAAAACCTAACTTCCACCATTTCCCCTTGATATCCCATCCTCAAGCATTATAACCCAGATGTTTTTCCTGATAGACAAGGGAGGTGGAGGCTGAGCTCCCAGCTCCAAAGCCAGGAAGTCGAGAGGTCTGAGTGTCAATTCCAACCTTGGGTGTGTTCCTTAACCTCTTGTGAGAGGTTGAGTTTGAGGACAAACTAAAGGGCACATGCTTATCTACCTCCTGGGCAGGTTAGAGCCACAAGTGTTTATAAAGCTCTTTGGTTCAAAGCATTACTATACCCCTCTCCCCCAACTCAATTCCTTTTTCACTACCAACCTGTTTCCTCTCTATCTGACTGTCAGTCTGTATCTTCTGGTTGTGGCTTTTATTTGCGTAGGACCCTTTGTGAGTCATACCGGCTCCCAGGGCCATGGTTTTTCCTTTGCAGAAGTGTATAAAGTAGGACAGTTGGATGAGTGTCTTTAGACTTCCAACTCATTCTAGATTCCCTAAAGGGGGGATTGCTGTGAGTCATTAGTCAGAGGAGGTTAGGGCCTTTTGCGTGCAGTGTTTGACAGCTCAAAGGGAAAGCATTGCATGGTGTGCTGTGTTCCCTCCCACACCGTACTGACCCCACAGTTGAAAACACTTTGGTTGCATCTACTACCTGTTGTAAAAAATTACCTTGCCAGTTGCCTTTCCCTCAGATTCTCCAACTTGAAAGAAAGAATACATTCTTTCATTCTTTTTTTGGCAGGGGTTCAGTACTGGGGTTTGAACCCAAGACCTTTGCACTGGGCTTTGTATTTCCTCAGCTCCTTATTTCTTGTTTTGAGACAAGGTCTTGGTAAATTGCTCAGACTGGGCCCAAGTTCAGACTGGGCTTGAACTTGTTATTCTCCTGCCTCAGCCTCCCAGAGTGCTGGAATTACAGGCATGTACCATCAGGCCTGGCTCTTGCTTTTTTCTTTAAAATTTATTACAGTGAAAGACGTTGTCATTAATCCCCATTTTGCCTTCAGTGCATTTATCCCATAATTCTTGCCACTTTCTAAAGCAGTTCTGGAGGTCCTTTCTCAGGACTGGCTCTTGCGTTCTTAAAATAGCTGAGGCAAAGTTTGTAAACCTGGTGGAAGTGTGCGCCTGGCCATGGATGGGCATTTATTTGATACTTTAAGCTTCAAATCACTGTCTGCAAAGGAGGCTGGGTCTGGCATAAGTAGTAACAACTATTCATTAAACACTGCTTTGTGCTAAGTGTGTTGCATGCATTGCCTTCTGAAAGATACTGTTGTATGATAAACCTAATGCATAGACAAACGAGCTAAAGTTTAGGGAGAAGCGAAGAAGGCCCAGCCTTGTATGAAAAGTGGTAGCTACAGGATACAAGTGAAGGTTGTCTGGTTCCAGCAGCCACACTTGCCTTTCAGAGCCATCAGTGGTTCTCAGCTTTGGAACCTTTAAATACCGATGTCTGCATCCCAGCCCCAAGGGATTCTGATTTAATTGGGCATGGTATGTCCTGGGCGTAGAACCCCACGCAGTTCTAAAGTGAAACCAAGGTGTCGGGCAGGAGCCTGATTTTGTATGTGAAGAAGCAGATCAGGAGGTTACCGACTAGTCCTGCCTTCCCTATCTGTAAGTGGCAAAGCAGACACATAGACCCAGTTACCTCTGATGCCAAAGCCTCTACCCTTCATACAAAGGAGTGCACGAGTCACCTAGAGATGGTATTAAAATGAAGGTTCATACCCAATAGGTCTGAGGTTTCAAATAAGCTTGTCAGTGCTAGTGTTGCAGGCCTATCTACACGTGGATAACAAGGGAATAAACCTACTGTCCTTCTGAGTGCAGGAATCTATGCCTAACTGAACTAACTACCTGCTGCAGTGTCTAGCACTGATCATCCCTCATAGGTTAACTCACCTCTTTAGAATCAGAGCAAATGTTCTCAATTGTTAAAGGCCTCAAATTCAATTCTAGGTTGTTTTAACTTTTGCCCAAGTTGGACAGAAACTCTTATCCCCTCCCACCCCCAAACCTTGCTTTGAATTCCTTGAACAAAGAAACTAACTTTTGGCTTTCCTGTACTCTTGATGGAATTACACGGCATCATAGCCTTCGAGGACAGAGGGTCTCAATACTTAGCTGATTTCTTAAATTCCCATGACAAATGCAAGTCTCAATTCCAGGAGTTAAAAGGCTACAAAACAATTTGAAGCACTTAGTGGGAAGAATCCCTGAACAGGGTTTCAAATAATAGAAAACCTTCCTGCTGGTCTGGTTTGGCATAAATGAGACTAATTCCTTACATGCCCAAAGGAAATTTATCTGCCCCCTTCCTCCGCCAAACCCATTCCTGCCTTCCCTATCTGAGTTCATGTGTCTCCATCCTCCCAGTGTCAAAACACAAGATGCATCTTGGGCTCTTTCCGCTCTCTCCCCTCCAACTTCCAGTCCAACACCAAGTCCTGTTGAGCTGCTTCTATCATCTCTCACAATTGCTACTTCCTGTTTTATCTCACTGTCACTGTCCTAGGCTGTTTTTGTTCCTCTTGCCTGGATTATTGAAATGACTTCTTAACTGCCCTCCTTCTGCCATCTCTTCCTCCAGTCCGTCCTCCCAATTTGCTGCACCTGTTTCTGTAGCTCAGAAACCTGCAGTGGCTCCCAAATGTGCTCTAACTAAAGCCCCAGTCCTTATTGGAATTCTGATACTCCACAATCTGGCCCTAGCCAGGCCATCTTTCCCATTGTTATCTCTTCATTATGTACCTAACACGCTACAAAATGCTATTCCTTGATTGCTCTCCAGCTTCTGAATCTACACGACCGCTATCCATTGCCAGGAAACAATCCTTCCTCCATCTCTGCCTCTTGAACTTCTACATATCTCTCAAGGCAAACATGAGTGCTGTCTTCCCCAGGAAGCATCCCCTTCCTATAGCCAAGAGTGGTCTTTCCTGCCCCACCGTTCCCATGACACAATATAGCGTGATGCCTGATCACTAGGGATGTGGAGTTGGGTTGTGTGTATTTGAACTGAGGCTCTGGCATGTGGTAACCTTGTGATGCTAGGCACGTTACTTAACCTTCCTGTACCTTATTTTCCTCATCAGTAAAGAGGGGAAAAGAAGCACAAGAATACTACCTACCTTCTGGTATAACTATGAGGATTTAAAGAGTTATACACAAGAAGAGCAAGCTATAGCGCTATAAATGGTAGCATGGTTACAACACACTATGTATATGACACCAGTGTCAGGGTGCTGGATATGGTTTCTCTCCCCTGGTCAAAATGTTGGAAGAGCTGGACTTCTTTCTTATTTTATTTTCTGCATTCTACTGCTCACTATGTGACACACATCTAGGAAACAAGCCCTTCCTTGCTACAAAATCACAAACAAATTCTTCTATGTAGAAATAGGAGTAATTATTTGAGGTTAAATTGCCATCTTTACAGGTATCAAACCCCAGTTGAGATGCTTTGGGTATAAGACAGGATGGTTTTTTATTTGTGTGTCTGTTGGCTGGTTGGCTGTTCTTGGGTTGTTGTTTTTTTAATGATATTGGGGATTGAACCTGCATGGGTGCTCCACCATGAGTGACACATCACTCCTTTTTTATTCTAAGACAGGGTTGTGATCCTTCTCCCTCAGCTTCCCAAGCAGCTGGGAATATTGTCATGCCAGAATTCTTAGACCCTGAAACAGATCACGATGTACTTGGTCTTTAAAAAGTTGCTTCTACCACACAGGAAGTTTCTTTTTGTGTGTCATTTTTTGAGACAGGATCTCTCTGTGCAGTTCAGGCTGGACTTGAGCTCACTTTGTAGCCCAAGCTGGTCTCACACTCACAACGATCCTCCTGCCTCAGCCTCCTAGGTGCTGGGATTACAGGTGTGCGCCACCACTCCCGGCTCCACATAGGAAGTTTCTATTTGGGGTTGTGACATCTTTGTGGACCTTGATCATTTGTAAAATAGGAAACAAGGAATTTGTTTAAATAAGATACAATCATATATTGAAAACTAGCAGATCTGGAAAACAGATGAAGGTTCCAGAAGCCATGCTCTCATTCTTCAGGGTCATCAGTTTCTCAGCCCTTCGTGCACTTTGTATGCATCTGGGGACCTTGAAATACTGCGGTCTGGATCCGATCCCCAGAAACTCTGAGTTAATTGGTCAGGGGAGTGTCTATAACATCATAAAATTTGTAAAAAGAATCACTCTTGTGGCCTTATAGTCATATATCCTAGTGGGAGAAAAGGGAGTACTGCAGCTGGAACTCTGGAAAGACATTAATTAATTAGTAAGTTCACTCCATCAATATTTTATAGCCTACTAAGTGTTAGTTGCCTCCCAGGCCTGAGTAATAAGATAAACAGAAGCCCTTCCCCCAAGAAGCACATGTTTTAGCGGTGGAGGCAACAGCCAGGCAAATATAAAAAGGAGATGATTTCAGGTTGTGATAAAGTTCTGAGAAGGGGCTAAATGAGGTGAACACGGGAGTGAGAGGCTGGGGAGCTGGGGTCATGGGAGGGCTCTCAGTGGAAGTAGTATTGGCGGAGGAGCCAATGGAAGAGTCTCCCAGTCTTAGGAAGCAGCGGGAGCAAACCCTCTGTAGGAGCAGAGAGAGAAGTCCTCTGGGCCGAG